GTGGTACAGACGGGGGAGGAAAATGCTGCCTGTAGACCTGAGACAGTGAGAGAAGACAAGGGGACAGCTCAGGAATGTGATGCCTCTTGTGAAGCCACACCGCAGAACTCGAGCCTTCCTCTTAAGCAGGAAGCAGCTTCATTTATCCACTTCCTACTTGGTGAAGAGCGTCTTTGTCCTTGCTCTCCGTTTTTAGACTCTTACCGCATCAGCGGAGGGAGATGGCTGCCTGACCAGATGCCATAAATGACAGAGTGTCCCTTGCCTGTATATTTTCCAAGGGGAAAGCCAGTAGCCTGCACAGTGGTGAGGGACATTAGAGTTGGGCCTTGACTGGCCTCTGCAGAGAAGCAGGGACTGAACTCGCTGCTGAGAGAGAAGCAGCTGTGTATCCAGCCTTGGAGAGCCCCGTGGAGGCTGGAAGACCAAGGATACAGGGTGAGGTCTCACCATCCTCTGCTGTCCCCTACAGGGCCCAAGGAAAGGGGACTGACTCTCCAGGTTCATTTGTGTGGCTGAGGGGACCTAGGGACCAGAGAAGGGATATAGCATGTTCCTGGGATGTGGGTCAGCTGGGCGGAAGTGTTCCACAAAGGGGCTTCTGAAGCTGCGGTGGGTATCCCTCATGGGCTCACAGAAAAGAAGAGGTGAGCCCATGACCCACCCACCATGGCTGCCTCTAAGTGCAAGTTCTCAAGAAGAAGAAACTGGTGCCTGCCTGACCCAGGTGAACCTGTACATCACCTCATTTCCCCACCTACCCCCAGGGGAAGAGGATCTGGGCTCTGCTTCCGGGAGTCCTAGCCAGAACAGGGAGAGGGTTAGCTACAGAGAATGGAAGGAACCCAGCAGGGCGATGAGCATGAAGGCTGGTACATCTACAGACCATGTCTACCCCAAAGGCCTGGTCTCAACCCAGACAGTGGACGCTCACCCCAAAAGCCACCTCTGTCAATTGTTGCAGCTCCAACGTGCCCATCTCCTGAGTGTGTTCCTAATTCTCTCAATAGTACCCTTGGGGATGGCACGGCTCTAGATCTGACACCATGGTGTCCCCAGAGGCCAGGATGGTGCCATACACACCTCCAAAGACAGTAGCTTGCAGCCCTCAATATTGCCCCTGCCTGCTCAGCCTTACCAGTTACCTGATCGCCTCACTAGAGGGAGCATGAGTAGCCAGGAATTCCCTGTCCACAGCCAGCACTGAGGTCTTGAGTCCAAGACTGCTGCTGCCAAAGAAGAACAAAGTGGGGAGGGACCCAGAGTCCAGTAGCATCCTCCAGCCCAAGGAGTCAGATAACAAAAGCAAAACCAGAGTCCCCAGACAGAAAAGTCTGCAAGCCAGAAGCCAGGTGACTAGCTGCTTTCAGGGGCAGCTCAAGTTAGGGAGGAAGCCTCTGCTAGAAGGAAGATGCAATCCAGGAGCAGATTTCCTGGACCCAGGCTCCAAAATGGCTCTGGGCATCTCAGGACCACTAGACTGGGATCTTGGGCTCGTAGGGGACATGTCCTCACTCTGGAGGAGGTATGAGCTCCCTTGGGTCTGCTTAAGAGGCCATGCAGTGTGTGTGTGTGGGGGGGGTGCAGTGAGCCACAAGAATATATTATAGAGATATAGCTGTATATAATAAGCTATACCTTGATTGACCAAGGAGTCCTTCAAGAGGGAAGCCATTTATCAAGGAATATTTCATGTTATTCAGCTTTTTTTTTTTTTTTTTTTTTCTTTCGAGACAGGGTTTCTCTGTGTAGCTTTGCGCCTTTCCTGGGACTCACTTGGTAGCCCAGGCTGGCCTCGAACTCACAGAGATCTGCCTGGCTCTGCCTCCCGAGTGCTGGGATTAAAGGCGTGCGCCACCACCGCCCAGCTCAGCTTTTAATATATATCAGCTGTCTTCTGCTATGAAATCCTTGTGTGCTCATACACTACTAGGCCATATGGCAAACAGCATAAACAGCTCAGACCTACTGCTGATCTACTAGGTAGCACCCCTACAGAGCCAAGGAGACAGGCAGACTATAGATGCATAGCTTTGTTTCTTGTGCAAATGAAGCTCAGGCCATCCCTTGCCTTCAGGGCTTTGCAGAGCTATTGACTGAGAACAATAGGGCTTTTTGCATAACCAGGTGCAGTAAAGACTGGAGCAGAATTTCCGGGCAGAGCAGAGTCAAGTGGCTGGAAAGTAAGGAACAGGCAGATCTTTTGTAGCATGTGGCTCAGGCTGAGGAGTGAAGAGCAAAGAAAAGTTTTTTTGTAGATTGTAGGTGAATCAGGTCAGAAGAGGAGAAGAGGGAGGAAAGATGGAGGATAAAGGAACAAGGGATGAGGATGAGATCAAAAGTATAATTGCTTAATTATTACTAGGGCTATGAGAGGACAGAAAAAGAAGGGACACAGAGAAACTGAGAGTCAGGACAGAACTGAAGCTGTATAGACAGAATTTTGTCTTAGAGAAATAAAGTTAATGGACAAAAGAGCATGGTAGATATAGATTCCTTTCCCTCTGATAACCCCATATCAAACACAGCATTTTCCCCAGGACCCTAGGAAGGATTTTCTCAGGGCAGGCCCCTGGGAAAATTCCAATGGGGGTGGGGTGGGGAATAGGGAGGGGATGAGGATCCATGCATACTAAACACAGTGATTCCCACCCATACTGGGATCAGAGCTGAGGGGAGCAGGTATCTGCCATCAGGGCATCAGGTAAACAACCTCATCTCCACCCCAGGACCATCAACCCTGGCTTAGCTGGACCAGACTCAAGCAATCTTTCCTGTAGGGCTGGGAACAGTATGTGCTGGGCCTGGGAGGGGTGTATATAGCCCTGGGAACACTGTGTACCTCCAGTATTGATGCTGTCAAAGGCAGCCAGGGTGGCCACACCACCACCACCCCTACATTTCCTGAAGGTTGCTGTCACTCTTTGGAAATTCTCACCATCTCAGACCTGGGTGTATGTGGTCCTGGAAGAGGAGGAACTAGGCTCACAGGGAGACTGCTTGACAGAGCCTAGGCCCATGGGAGGAGGGTGTAGTAACAAGTCTACTTCTCCCTGCAGAGTCCTGGAAGGCCCTGGCCCTCACCAGGTCAGAGGGCCCCTGGAGGAAGCAGCTGGCGCCTGGAGGTAAGCATATGGCCTGCAGAGGGTGGGACCAGAAGCAAGACCAGAGGAGATGTTGACCCTGGCTTGGGAAGAAACCATGCCTGTGAGAACTTAGGAACAGGTATGGGGATAGAAGTGCAGGTCAACAGAAGGCTGGGTAAGTTCCCAAATGCTGGGAAGGAAGACAGTTCAAGGGGAGGCTAAGAGGCACAGCATGCGCATGGCTGAGTCATCAGAGAAGTGTCTTCAGCAGCCCAGAAGGGACCACCTGTTGGTTATTTGTGGTGCTCTTACCCTGCGAGGAAACATCACGAAACACGACAAAATCCACTAACAAGAGTTTTATTAAGATGAGGGAGACAGACAGATGTGCACAGGCCTGTGGAAAAGACACGTGAGTAAACATGGAGCCGGGAATCATGGCGGCAGCTTATAAAGGCTGGGCCGTGCCTTCGCACACAGGCCCATGTGGCTATTCCACACATGTGCGTAGATCACATAGTTGTGCTGCGTGCTTTACACAACCAAGCAAAGCCACGGGGTCCTGGTCACGTGAGACATTTTAATGACTAGGCGGAAGTGACTAGGTTCCGCCGGGCATGCATGACCATGCCCAACCATGGGGGCGTGTTGTGAATCCATATCACCACCTATGCCATGCACTTCCCTTTGCCTTTATGAGTCCTGGCCCTTGATGGTCACCTCACCCTAGGAGAAAGATGAGGTTAGACAATCTGAGGAGCTGGCACTCATCAAATATTCATTTCAAATGACCCCTGGAGATTGGCCACTTCTCCCATGCCCTATGGATGACCCAGGAATCTGAGACTTAGACAAGTTTAGGAGCTGGCCCAAGCCACAAGACAGACAAACTTCCCAGGGCTTGACACTGACTAGACTCCTGTCCAGCACCCAATGCCTCCCTCCATACCCCAGGTGAGGGACCAGGACTCCCCAGTACCTAGCTCTCTCATCTGCAAACTCCTCTGGAGTTGGGGGAATCTGCTGCACCTGGGGAGAAACCCAAAGCCATCAATCTGGTCCATGAGGAGTCCAAGGCCTCACACAAAGTACCCTGCAGGAGACAGTGGCTGGAGCTAATGGTTTTGCCAGGCAGAAGCCAGGCCAGGTAGACCGTAGCCAGTCCCAGAAGGCTCTCTGCCTCAAAGTCAACACCTATCTAGGTGCAGAGGGCCAGGGACAACACCTACCTTCTGTAGCCTCATCAGGGCCAGGGAGCAGTAGGGAGGCTTCGGGGCAGGGGGTAACTCAGAAAGAGATTGAAGGGGAAGGGGGTTACTAAGGGAACAGCCTGTCAAAAGAAGAAGAGGCCAGAGCAGCAGAAGCCTGGGCCAGCAAGATCAAGGATAAGAAGTGAGAGGAAAGAGTGGTTCTCAGAGCTGCAGCTGGACAGACCACGCTCCCATCTGAATCCTCTGCAGCAGGACTCCACTCAGGTGGAAGGTGACTGGCCTGTGGCCCTCAGATAGAGTCCTAAGCCCTTGTGGCTGTGCAGCCAGGGTCCCTAGAGGTTTGTGATAGGTGCCTATCACACACATCAAGATCACATCAAGCCCCCCCCCCGACAATGCTGAGGCCTGGAGGCCCAGGAGCCAGGACAGGACCAGGTGGTTCCTGAGGCCAGCACTCACCTTTTGTAGTCCCCACCAGGCAATAGGAACAGCTGAGGTGGGCAGGACACCCAAGGCCAATATAGTAACTTCCCCTTCCTCTCTGTCCCCGGAGGTCCTTGAGGGAAGTGATGTTCCTGGCCTGGCGCCGCCTGTAGCTGAAGACTGATACGAGGCCCATTGTTTGAGATTAGAGCTGGCAGGGACCACGGGAAGCCCCCAGTAATGCCCTGTGTCCCACTTACTGCAGACCCAGAACCCCGAGTGAGGGCAGCGCCAGTGGACAGATCAGCCTGCGCCAGTGGACAAGGACAGCGTCAGTGGACAGATCAGCCTGCGCCAGGATGAAGGCACTCAGGGTCGTCCTCCTGGTCTTGCTGTTGAGTGGACAGTCAGGTGCGGGTCACCTCAAGAAGGGGTTGCCCAGTCCATGAACCCCTTATCCTAGGGACGAGGAATAGGCGTGGGGAGGAAGATGGGGGGCCTGGGGCTCCTTTCTTTTGCCAGCTGCAGGCTTGGCTGCTTCGGCACTGCAGGGGTGGGGGTGGGGAGAATTCTCTCTCCTTGTATAAAATAAAAAGGATATGGAAAAGAGGGCGTGGTAAGATCAGGACTTAGTGCTCAACCCTGGGTGTGTCCTCTGCATCTGGATATTCGAGGCTCACAGATGTCCCTGCACCACCAGGGTGGGCCCAAGAAGAAGATGGAGATGTGGACTTGGGGCCAGAGAGCTACGGCTACGATGATGACTATGAAGAGGAGGAAGAGGAGACCAACATGATCCCTGGAAGCAGGGACAGAGGTACCCACCCCAGCTGAGGGCCCAGCTTCCCGCTCTGCACAGAGCATTCCTTCAGCACTTACCTCCTGTCCCAAGGGTAAAGCAGAGCAAGCTGCTGGCATTCAGGCCGGGAGCCCAGCATGCCCACACCACACACAGGCTCTCCCCTCAGGCTTCAGCGTTCTCCACCCTGAGCTGACACTCGGGTCTGCTCCTCTTAGCCCTCTCTGCTCTGCTTCCCATCCCTTCCTGCTTCCTTAGCCCTGGGCTCCACCTTATCTGACCCCCACGTTCTGTAGCTCTTCTTAATAGCTCGAGGCACAGGCTCCTGCAGGAGGGCTGATGGGTGACTGGTGGTGAGGGCAGGTGCTCGGGGATGGCCCTGGAGGACCACTCTCAGCCTAAGCTGCCCTGCTGTCCACAGAACACCTGCAGTGTTACACCTGCCAGGCAATACACAGCGGGGAGAGCTGCAACCAGATACAGAGCTGCTACCACAAGACCTTCTGCACCACATTCATCTCTCATGGCAACACTGGTGAGCGTATGGCAGCAGGGGCGGAGGGGGGGGCACACCCAAAGAGGGGGTCAGAGAAGGAGCCTGCACTGACACCCGTGCCCCGCCCTCACCGCCTCTTCTCCACACCCCCTAGACCAAGGTCTCCTGACTACCTACTCCATGTGGTGTACTGATACCTGCCAACCCATCACCAAGACGATATCTGGCACCCAGATGACACAGACCTGTTGCCAGTCCACCCTGTGCAATATTCCACCCTGGCAGAGCCCCCAAGTCCAGGACTCTCCGGCTGGTGGGGCAGGCAGCCCCGTGGAGGGTGGGGTCAAAAATCCTCAAGATGGCATTGCAGGGAGACCCCTGGATGTCGGAGTCAGACATCCTCAAGGTGACAGGGTTGGCCACCCGCCCCAGGTCAAGTCTGCCAATCCTCAGAGTGGTGGGGCTAGCTTGCCCAAGGGCGGCAGGAATAACCAGCCCCAGGGCAGTAGGTCAGGATGCCCTCCAGGCTGGCCCAAATTTGGTGATACAGCCCTCCTGCTCAGCCTCCTCACTAGTCTATGGGCATCAGGGGCCTGAAGACTGCCTGCCCTCTTCCTAGCAGGATACCCTGGCCTCCCCCCCGACACACACAACCAGCTTCAGAGAATAAACTTGAATTTCTTTTGCAACCCAGCCAGTTGTAGCTCCTCTGCCCTCAGTTTCACCCCTCGGGCCTCCTTGCCTTTGTCTGTCCTCTGCCCACGGGCAGCAGTGTGGGTATCACCTCAGCCTCCGGTCCAGGTGTCTGTTGCCCGTGCTCTAGGGATGTTCAGCCTACAGGGGCCCCGCCCGCCCGCCCAGCTGCACAGAGCTCCTAACAAGCCTGTAAGTCTCGTTCTCTTCCTGAATTTGCCAGCATGAAATTCTTCCCCGGAGCCACCACCTAGATAAACTCAGTCCTTTCATAGGTGTGAGGCGCAGGGTGAGCCTCCAGCGGCTTGGGGGGGGGGGGTCTTGGAGGGAGACCAGGAAAGTTGTGGGACTGAGGTAGAGCGAAGGAGAAGGAAGGAGGGAGAAAGCAGGAGGAAGGCCCAGCTGCTGAGTGGGGGATTCCCCAGCTGCAACCTGGCCAAGAAGTCCATCCTCTTCTGGATTCCAGGCCCTCTCTCCTAGCCCAGGCCTCCAGGAGCCCAAGATGGAATGCAGGTCTGGGAATAAAAAGCCCCATGGGCTCCAGAGGTAGAGAAATGGATAGCATATCCATTCTTGCCTGGGCGGGTGGGTACCTTTTCTGGCTGGGGAGAGGCACCTAGCTGTTGGGCAGGTGAGCATCTCCTTGATAGGGAGCCTGGCTGCTTGACAGGTGGGCAATCCTTGACTGGGTATGGCCCCTATCAGCTGAGCTCTTGGCTTCCCTGACAGCATCAAGCTATTCTTTCACTAGCAGTTGGTGCCAGGGCAGATGTCTGGGATGAGAGAGAAGGGTACACCTGGGCCAGTGCTGACTTGTACCTCAGTCTCCCTACTTGTGCAGCAAAGAGTGAGCCTTAAGGGACTCTTAGGTCCCTGTAGCTCAATGTTATAAGAACTAGAAGTCTAGAGTCCTTTCCTAAAAGTCAAGTTTGTTCACTGGCATGCAATAAGAAACCTCTACTGACCAGGCGGTGGTGGCGCACGCCTTTAATCCCAGCACTCGGGAGGCAGAGGCAGGCGGATCTCTGTGAGTTCGAGGCCAGTCTGGGTCTACAGAGTGAGTTCCAGGAAAGGCGCAAAGCTACACAGAAAAACCCTGTCTCAAAAAAACCAAAAAAAAAAAAAAAAAGAAAAAGAAAAAGAAAAAAAGAAAAGAAAAGAAACCTCTATTGGCCAGGCAGTGCATGCCCTTAATCCCAGCACTTGGGAGGCAGAGGCAGATGGATTTCTGTGAATCTGAGGCCAGCTTGGTCTACAGAGTGAGTTCCAGGACAGGCACCAAAACTACACATAGAAACTGTGTCAAGAAAGAAAGAAAGAAAGAAAGAAAGAAAGAAAGAAAGAAAGAAAGAAAGAGAGAGAGAGAGAAAGAAAGAGAGAAAAGAAAAGAAAGAAGGAAAGAAAGAAACCTCCACTACCCACCATGTCTCCTTTCCCTTACTGATAAAGCATCAGTGGCTGGCTGGGCCATCCAAGGATAGAGCTCTTGGATGGAGGCGACACCGACTTTGCACCTCAAGGCACCTACCTCAAGATACCCTTTCCTAGGAGGGAAGTCAATTCCCTTGTTGAAGGTATCTGTCTTGGTTTTCCTTTGCTCCCATTTTCACGCATGTTCATACACATAGGCTTGCACTATACACGGGCTTCATTACTCACACAGACACAGCCTTTGACTGGTACACAGCTGAGGAGTCAGACTGCCTGAGTTAAAATCTTCAATCCACCCTACCAGCTCCATGATCCCTGGGACCCACATGCGACTCATCTCCTCTGTGAGGTGGGACTGCAGTGTAGACTCACTGAGGTGCCCCAAGCCTGACTATCCATAGCACACTTAGGACTCATGCTCTATCAGCTCCAGCAGCTCCAGCAGCTCCATCATCAGCTCCAGCAGCTCCAGCAGACCCAGCAGACCCAGCAGGGTATGTGTTTATTGCAAATGCCCCAACTGTGCCAGCTCTGGTCTCTCCAGACCAAAAGAACCTTCATTAACCACTCCCAATCTAGAAACGCTGGACACATTATTTCAGTCTGAAGTCACTGCTGTAGGGCCTCCCCTGCCTGGGGCTCCAGCCTCACTGTCTTCTTCCAGGGTCCCCTGGTTCCTTGCTCCGGGGGAAGCAGGAAACACAGCTGAAGCTGGGGACTATGCAGGTGGCACTGAGCACCTCTAGTGGCTTCGAAAGGAGCAAGGAACAACTTGGGAACAGAGAAGCCTATCTTCCAGCAGCACCCATCACTACCACTGTCAGCCCTCCTGCCCCACCACACACACACACACACACACACACACACACACAGCATTGTCATGAGCCACTGGAGCTCTAAGGCAGGGGTGTGCAGGTGAAGATAGGTGTGGTCAGGACACACACACACACACACCCCGCCCCGACAAAGGAGACTAGAAACTCGGACGAGGGAATCTGCTTCAAGGTCACATGGTGGTGACTGCGGAACCAAGACTCATTCCCGGGAATTTTTGCTATCTGAATGACGACTACAACGACGTCACAAGCTGTCAAGGGAGGTGAAGTCAACAAGAGGCTGCTGCCCCAGAGGCTAGGGGAGCCAAATTGTGCAGCAACTTCCTATAGTTCCATGTGGGTCAGAGGTGCCAGCCACAGTCCAAACATCCTAGACCCTGTCTCAGAGCCCAGTGCAGGATGTCATCCCAAGGAAGAACAATAGGATGTGAGGGAAAATGCCTAATCTTCCAGCCAGCTGGGGTGGGGGTTGCTGGGTCCTGACAATGTTCCCATCTGGGGCGGTTTCCTAAGGCAGAAGGTCACGGACTCAGTAACTTCCCCACAAACCCAAGCTTATGCTGCAGAGCTGGGGGAGGGGGTGGCCCAGATCAGCTTCAACCCACAGTACTCCTGCATGCGGGTCTCCAAAGCATGACTTGGATCTTAAATGTCCTCCGGGGGCTGGTGTTGAAGGCTTGAACCTGTGGCACTGTGGAAAGGGGTGGAACTTTTAAGGGGAGTATGTGTGTCTGTATGTGTATCTGACTGTCTGTCTGTCTTAGTTATTTTTCAGTTCAATTAGGGACACCATGACCAAGACAATTTACAAAACTATTTATTAGGGCTTACTGTTCCAGAGGGTGAATTCATGGCAGGGAGCATGTCAACAGGCAGGCAAGCCAGGCACTAAAGCAGTACCTGGGGTTTATATCTGATCCACAAGCATGACACACAGAGAGGTAGCTGGGAATGATGTGGACTTTTAAAACCTGAAAGCTAGCCCCCAGTGACACGCCTCCTCCAACAAGGCCACACCTCCTAATCCTTCCTAAACAGTTCCACCAACTAAGGACCAAGCATTCGAACATATGAGCCTGTTTGGACCATTTTGCTTTTAAACAGTCTCCCACTGCAGCTCCCTGGCCTATCAGCCATGACATCCACACACAGGATAATAGTAGGGGCAATGGGCATCTAATACCCACACACCGTCTCAGCCTGTGCCCACAGCCACAGGCACAGGAAGTAAAGATCCCAAGACTGGAGGGAGGACCTGAATGCAGACGGACTGGAGGTACAAAAGACACCAACAATAAGCAGGACTCAGCCCAGCACCCACTTAGGGATGGCTCCTCCCACTGAGGGATGGCTCCATACCCACTCTGAGGGTGGGGCCAAGGTTGCCCTGGGAAATGAACAGGCATCCTGGCGTTAAAAGGTTTCTTCCTTAGTGTACCTAGCTTTTATTTTTTTTTAATTATTTTTGATTATTTGGGAATCTCACATCACGCACCCCAAACGTGCTCACCTCCCAGTCTTCTCATGACCATCCTCCTTCCCCCATAACCTCCCTCCCCACCACCAAAAGAAAAGACAAGTCCATTTCGTGTTGTCTATATATTCGCTGGAGCATGGTCAAATTCCTAGTGGCCATCCCAAGGGAGGAGAAGACTTTCTCTGCCTGTATCCAAGCTAGAAGACATCAGCGGAGGAAAGCTATGCCGAGGTCAGAATGGGGTGAGACTAGCTTTCTTCCATGCCCACACTACTACCAGAACTGCAATGCTGTGGTCAGGCGAGGGTCGGGGCCAGGTCTCCCATGGGAGGCAAGAGCAAGACCAGCTCTCCTGCACCCATGGACATTAACATGGCTTCAGGAGTCAGCCCCAACCACCGAACATCCACATGGGCTTCAATGGTAACACTGGCCACAGGCATCAATACAGCCCTTGGCCATATCAGGACCATTGTCCCACTCATGTCCCTCAGTGGCTGCACAGACCACAAGCCTCAGCATGGTCTCAGGTGGTTCCGCCTGCCACTCACATCAGGATGACCTCCCCGAGGCAGCAAAGCCTGAGGACATCACCAGGGCATCCGGCAGCGGCACATACTACCTATGTCCACATGGATCTCAGGCTTCATCGAAGTCTGGGGCAGCCACATGGACCACTGACACCAGCATGGCCTCCTGTGGTATCTCAGACCACAGTGGTCCTTCCAGGGGGTTCAATCCAGAAAGTGAACCTTTCCTCATCTCAGACTTCCATCATTGCCCACAGCCAGGGAGATCCCACAGTCGGGAGGATTCCACAGCCAGAGGGATCCTGCCGCCAGGCAGCAGGTTTGGGGGCTGAGTCTGCATCTGCATAAGCTCCAAGCTATTGTCCACCATCCCACTGACCCTACTGGACAATGACAGCATGTTGATCTCAGCCCTCTTTCTCACCTGTCATGGCCATCATGTCTCCAGTTCTGCCTTTCTCCATAGCACACACACAGCTCCACTTTTCCGTATTTCTCACCTCTCCACCACATAATTGTTCTTTGTAGTGGTGTACCTGGCTGGTGCTTCCTTGGGTGGCTTCCGTAGACCAGGCTGGCCTCAAACTCACAGAGATCGCTTTGCCTCTGCCTCCTGAGTGCTGGGATTAAATTAAAGGTGTGC